ATATGTATATATATAGGAACACCCGGTGTGTTTGGAGCACAATCTACTGACATACCAGTAGATACCGCGACATCTGCCACACACAAATGGCAGGAAGTCAAGGGTATTACAAATGGTCAACTGGCAGTGTACACCCACATCCATCACGTCCGCATCTTCATGATTTCCCATATCGTAGCGTTCTTCAGAGAAAGCTATTCACGCTACCATAAGAATCTGCATAAGCATATCTAAATATTTAAATCTCACTTTTGATGGATCGCTGGATCCGGGATGCCGGATCTCACACAGGATCAGAAAATAAAAATAGTGACAGGCAAAATCTTATCGTTCTCATTAGTGATCACTGATCAGTGAGTGTGTGAGACTGTAAGCAGTGAGACTGTACCGAGCCTCCAAGTCTTTTTGTTTTTGTTTTCTTAAAACAAAACATAACAAAAATGACTTTTGTTCTGGTTTTGTTCTTATTTTTATTTCAGGTTCACAAAACATGTCATTCGGCAATCCTTATAATTACAAAAGAGTGTACATGTTTATACTGGTATGAGCTCACTTGGTCTTCTTAGTCGGATTCTCCCATTCAGACACAATCTTTCCCAATCCGTTTTCGGTCAGACCGGCCACTTCCTTCGCTGCTCTGATACCTGAGTCATACGCTCCATCGAGTGTCTGATAGCGACCATCTAGATTAGTGTGTTCACCAGCAAAGAACAATGCATTATTAATAGGAGCGGCCAGGTTCTCCCAGTCTTCTTTAGTACTGTACAACCTGAGACCAGAATAAGCTAATTTCGTATAGGGGTCAGTGTTCCATCGACTAGCTATGTACGAAGTCGGTTCGAGGACATTCTCTTTACCATAGCGCATGATGAGTTTTTTCAGTGCCATATTTTTCAATTCTTTGTCGCTGAGTGACTCATGCCAGTAATCATCTGATGCCCAAAAGAAGCTCAAAGCGGGCTGATAAGTATCGGACTTAGCATCAGTCGAATCATGTTTTCCTTTGATCTGTAATAGACTTCCGGTCCATATCCACTCGCCCAAGAATGCATCATGGCGTGGATCGCTCTCCTGTGGCACAAGAGTCATTGTTCCGAGATCCTCTTCCCAGAAACGGGAAGGAAATTCCAGATGGAGGTTATTTAATCTGTATAGGCTAAACAGAAATGTGGAATATGTGAAGCATAGCGAACCAGCTCTCATGTTAATAGTACATGCTAAACATATGACAATAAACTGATGATAACTGTTAGATCGCCGCTGACTTCTCACTATAGCATGGATTGATTGTAAATTTATATGCTATTCTTGTTAATCTACAAACAAAAGACAACAAATGGTGTTAATATATAACAGGCAGCTGCTACCTATGTACAGCGTAAACAGCAGGCTGAATATACCTTGCTATGCCGCGGCGATTTGTCGACAGCCTTTTATTTGCAGGCAATGGTGCTACAAACTCTACGTCTCTAGCAGTTAAGATCTCTAAGGGTAAAGTGGAAATGATTGTGATTCCCGATGTAATATTCCTATCTTCGCCGCTGGTACCTTCAACGGTTATAATCGGGTTCTTCGTATCTATATAGTCAATACGGGTAACTCTGTAGTTCAGTACAAGATTAATGTCCTTCAGTAGTGCGGCAGGCACTTGTTGCATACCACCTACGATTACTCTGTCCCCCTCTTCGATTGTCCTCCAATGGTAATCATCTTTAAAGCCGAACAGCTTGAACTGCGACAGTGGCAACCCCCAGTCTCCCTCGAACACCTTGTTTAAATGTATAAATAACAGGTATGTGGTGTCTGTGTTCATTTCTGCCATTTTCACGAATGTATCATCACGCATCAAGAAGCCATTCATCACTTCATTTGTTGCCCATGCGAGAGACACATCTTGCTGCCCCTTAGCTAATCGGTCAGCTTCTAGCTTTGCTACGCATTCCCACCAGTCTTCATATGCCGCCCAGCCCAACTCCATCACTCCTTCAGTATAAGCTTCGCCGTTGGAGGCCTTCGTCCATTTCATTCGATCCTCAGGCCCGATATACGCCGAATCTCCGCCCGATTCTATTGTTTTCAGACCGAGTTTTTTTTCTGCTACCCATCTGACACTGTTGTCCACACTACCCCCGTGGATGTAGGTTCCACCTGTATCCAAGGGAAATCCAGAACCCCAGTCCTGGATAATGTGTGCACGTCCACCCACCCTATCTCTCGCTTCCACGACCACAACCTTGCACCCTCTTGTGGTCAAATCTCGGGTTGCTGCTGCACCTGCCTTTCCGGCCCCAATAATAATTACAGGGTCGATGGCACACCTCGCGGTTTTTGCAGAGGTTTCAGGAAGGGCATTGCCGAACCCTAAGAAGGCTACTATGACGCAGATAGCGGCTTGTGATAGTTTCATAGTGATTGTTGTTGATGTTGGCTTACTGCTTGCTACTTGTGTTTACGTAGGTTGCTGTATGCCAATGATGTATTTTCGAGCCCACTTTTATACTCAGAATGAGTACTTGCTAAATACTGTCTTTTCTAGTATCACCGCAATCGCATACGCGCGCTAAGTATATCTACTCTATTTTAAAATGCTATAGTGAAGACAGTCAGGACACTCGGACAGTCACAAGTTGTACATATATTTTTTAGATGTTTTTATGTTCATACAAATGTATTTATATATTTGTACATACATACGTTCAATTTTGAATTTTCAAAGGGCTATGAATTTTGAAACAGATTTGTTTTTGTTTTGCTTTTTTTTGTTTTGTTATGTTTTTTAAAACAAAAACACTTTTTGAAAGTACAGCACAAATGTACACAAATATTTAATAAAAAAAATAGCTACTGTGACTCTGTATATGTGTATTTAAAACAGCTATTGTTCAACAGTTTACTAGCTAGTATGCTGTTTCTGTTTAGTGTTTTCTGATGCAATCTAATCTTAGGTTCAAATGAAAATGAAGCGTTCATCAAATTTGTTCGGACCGTATATATGATTATATGTGTCTACTACTAGTGTCTACTTAACAGTAAACACAGAAAATTTATTACTTTCTCGTCATTTTTTTTTATGAAAGGCATTGATTGAATGATTGCACAATGTGCGCGGAGTCATGGAATACGAGTAAAACGCTTCACACACGCGCGACCGGCCACATACTTCCTCGCTTAAATATATTTGAAGAAGGCACATTTGACGTATCAGTTGAAATTTAAACACCTGCCGCACACAAAAAGCAGTGCAACTAAAGTAATAGCCGCTTGTTCTTCGAGAGTATGCTTAAATGCCTCACAATTGCTTCAGACTTCACATACATACTAATTTATGTCGTTCAAATACTAGATCATCCAGTCATCGCTGACGCTGAGATTCTTTCACATTTATCTTCCGATTTCCAACGGAAAATTGAGATTATTTGTATTTTTGACACTTTTACTTTGAAATATAAAATGGTGTTGGAAAACAAACGCCCCTCGAAATAATCATTTGTTGATACTATCGAGGGTTTCCCAGTCCGTAATAGTTGAATTTAGCGTATTCTAAACGGATCAGAAGCCCACACGCCTAAACTAAATATTGTTTCTCTTGAACAGTCTCGAGTGAACACTGTATTTAAATATTGAGCCATTTCAGACGTAATAGTATAAAGATTCTATTATCCCAAAAAAGGCCATTCGGCTATCCTTACAAAAGAGTGTACATATTGCTGGTATGAGCTCACTTGGTCTTCTTAGCCGGATTTTCCCATTCAGACACAATCTTTCCCAATTCATTCACGTTCAAACCGGCCACTTCTTTCGCTGCTCTGATATCTGAGTCATACGCTCCATCGAGTGTCTGATAGCAACCATCCAGATTAGTGTGCTCACCAGCAAAGAACAATACATTATCAATAGGGGCGGCTAGGTTCTCCCAGTATTATTTAGTGCTGTAAAACATGAGCCCGGAATAAGCTCCTTTTGTATAGGAGTCGGCGTTCCAGGCGCCAAGAGCGACTTGTGATAGTTTCAAAATGACTGTTTTTTATGTTGGCTTCTTGCTATGTGTACATTCGCAATGCCAGTATGATAATGAAACAGTCTAGAGCCCAACTTTGTACTAAAATGATGGTGAATATATACACTCTATTTGAATATTCAAGGTTGAGGTCAGTGCAGACTGTAGTCATTCGTAACGCAAGTGTTGTCAATATTTACATGCACAGTTGCCCACACCCGGACACACCGTCCATACGCCACACACGGCACAGTGCACAACTGCACACGCACTATTCTTTATATAAGTAAATAGCATTGCTAGTTTGTTATTTACTACACCATATTTGTCTTTGCCGATGTATGTAGACTGGATTTTTTCTGTTTTTGTTTTTTTTATAACTTTTTTCTTCTTTTTTAAAAACAAAATTTATGTTACGTATTTTATTTTAGTCCCTATGTTTGTTTTTAGACGGCTGTGTGCCTATGTCCTTTTGTAAATAAATATGTAGATTGTAGTATATATTTAGTGGCGGACTGGCGGGTGGCCTACATCGTGAAACTATATCATACTGTATTTTTTTTAAAACACTATTTTTTTTCAAACAGGGGTAATGTATTTTTTTTATTTAAAAAAATATAAATAATTAAATACTGTACAGTCAGACCTGGGTGAATTAGACCGATTCCACGGAGGCATATTTTCCGGACTAGTATCCAGAAGACTAGTCTAGTGGGTTTTGATTGATCAAGAGGTCCTAGCTTTGTTGGACTGTAAATTGCCTTGCAGCTTGTCTATACATATTTTATTTATTCATTCTGTGTCTAAATCTCCATAACTGCGTCGTCGCCTTCTTTACGAGGTATTCTAGGAAAAAAAAGTACGTCATTACTTACTGAGACTTACATTCTATTATTGATGTGAAAGGTTGTTCTGTTGATGATTCACCAATGTCAAGGTCTAAAGTGTCGCACTCCATTGAGCCTTCTATTATGGAACTTATAGTTTCTGTTGCTGTAGCCAATGTATCTGAGCGTCTTGCTCAATATCCATCTACTCTTGTGTTGCTTCTCGTAGCTGATCATCACGAAGGTGTTGTGTTGTCTGTGTTTCCCCAGTGTCATTCACACCTAATGACACCATTAGTTTGGTCACTTCATCGACGAATGCAGCTCAACGCTGAAACTCAGCCTTTTCCATCTTCACCCTCGTATTCACATCAATATCAGATGGGTTTTGCTTTTCAATATATAAAACACTTGAAAAAAAATACAGACCCGTGTCTAATTTTTTCTGGACTAGTATACAGGTTGACTAGTTAACCAGGTGACAAATAAACAGGTTTGACTGTATGTAAATGCATACAGTCAAACCTCTATATAAGCAGGTTCCGCTGAGGGTAAAACAATGGACATATGTAGAGGTAGACATGCCTGGGTCATATACTACCTGTGAGGTGCATAGGACAGATATGTAGCTGATTGTACCCTTCCTCTCACAATATTTCCTTTACTAATAATTTTCTCTCATAAACCTCTGTGAAGTTTTTATTCTTAAACTATATATTGTACGTGCAGCTTGTACGGCTTCTTTAACTAAATCACCCCTATAGTTCTCTCCCCATGGCTTGCTCAAGTCATATCCACTCTTTTTGATAGTGCGCACGACGACACCTTTCTCGTCGTTTGTTAGATTAACTCTCTTTGCTGGAACGGCACACACCTTTGATAACACAGTTTGTTTGTACAACTTCTTTTTATTACTATTAGACAGTCTCTTCACTATTGTATCTGCGGCTTCATTTATCCCAGACGATGCACCTTGGTTAGACGTAGATTGTGTCGTTTCATCTTCCTGCATTGCATCAGAATCAGTAGTTGTCTGATCTAACAGTGATGCTGCAGATACAGGTGGTATCTATTGGCCTGATTGGCTCGTTGTTGATGTCTTTGGTGGCTTGTGATTATCTGTAGACAAGCAGTAATTCGATCCAAACCCCTCACCAAGATGCACGCCACAAAAGGCATGCATTATTACGATCGCAACCAGTACATTTATGAGCACCTGATGTTGGTTGCGTGATCGTGCGCCCTTGCCCTTGCGCGCAACAGCGACCTAAGCTAGAAATATCCTCCATGAAGAAGAAGTAAGTCTTAGTGTACCTATGGTGTATCCCCTGTGTGTAGACTACACCTGTGTATACTTATTGTATGAAGTCTCACTGAGATTGTATCCGATTGTATCCCGTGGCCCACTCATGGTTGGATCACTAGGAAATATTGATGAGTAAAAATTTAAACTGAGAGCTTCTGATTAAGACCGTAGTTTCAGGGCCCTAAAAGGGGGCCTGCTCTCTAGGGGTCGCCCAAATGAAAGGTGGACATATATAGAGGTAGACAATTAAAGAGGTAGACATATAGGGAGGTAAAAATGACTATACGTACCTTTGTGTTTGTTTGTTTTTTTTTAAATGTGATTTTTGTCTAATTTATAAGGCTATGGATTTTTCTCTTTGTCATTTTTATAAAAAAACATTTAAAAAAAACCATTTAAAATGTTTTCAGAGGGCTATGAAAAGTCAAACCAACCATAGCTTCTCAGAAGGCTGTGAAGTTAAATATGAACCAACATTTTATTTAGGGGAAGTCCACACACTCCGATTCATCGACATGCTTTGGAATTGCTGCACTCCTGTTAGCAAACCGCATATGAATAAAATAATATATCTTAGGCTTTCCAGCGAACACTGCTACAAATGCATGTCAGCAACCGTACTGAGTTTTTCAAACTCTTCACTTTTTGTATATAGATTTAGTGGCTAATTAATGCATATCGGACTCTACCACACAAACGCACCATAATAAACAGGCACACTAACCATTATTTGATTGGCGTTGGGCTTCAACCCTTGCAATAGGACTCAGAGTACATTTATTTGCTAAAAATATAAAATAGTCAGTATTCAATCATTAGCCCGCCGATGAATCGAGAATAGCTAATTAGAAAGTCGTGAAGAGCTGTTCCAAAATGGCAGCCTTGGGAACGCAATCGAGGGCGATTAAAATTCAACTCAGTGACAACTTCCTATTAGACTTCAACACAATTTTCCCGCCGGAATGCTCGAACTCGACAAGAGTCTTCGTATTCACAAGGCGCAATTCCATCATCCATATGTTTCTTGCCCATATCGCACAGTGAATTCCAACCGAGCGTTTTCTATGCAAAGGAAGAAAAACGGAAGATAAGCCAGTACAACCCAACTCATACTGATAAGCTCAAGGCGACTAGCTTTTACTTGTCAAGAGTGTTTGAAATCATGCGGTACTATTGACGCCCTAGTACCCGCGAATGCTATTATGAAACGCCTAATTAAAACGTTCCGGATACCGTGCTGATTGCAATGAATCCCACTGGTTATTCCCTGAGTGGCTATTGAGGCTTAAGTCATTGCTCTGACATACTGTTGTATCAATATTGGTACAATATAGCTAGCAGTAGTACGCGCGACTTGGCATGTTAATATTTCACATGATGCAACAATTTGCATTTCTAAATATGTAGTTGAAGTACACATTGAAAATGCCCAATGTTCGGCTAATAATGTTCCCAAAACATGTGAAACAGCACAAATAAGAAAGTACGTGATAAAATGGTGCTGCCAAGTAGAACTCTAGAGCAGATCGTGAATAAAACGCAGGGAAGAATAGCTGTCACAAGAGGACAGTTAATATGCCGCTGTAGAAATGTATGTCGTCTCGAAATGTGCACTAATATTAACAAGTATATATATATAAATATAGATACATATATATATATATATATATATATA